TCCCTCTCAGAGAGCTTTCTGCTGGGCTTTTCATAGGACCATGCTATGCTGACTCAGGTTCTTTTTCATAAAAAGTAATGGTTGTTTCTGTGAATTTGCTGTTAACCTCCTTCCCTGTTTCTGGATCTAATTTTATATGACTGTATGCCAAGACAATGGAGGGAGAGGGAGAGAAGGCAAAAAACCCCCTGGAAAATCCAACTGCATTTTTCAATATGATTGTTTGAAATGTGCTCAGCTTTCAGCAGAGAGAGAAGTCTCTTTGTTTGTGCTGATTAGAAGCTATTACATGTAAACTATGGGAGGTGACTTCACTTGAACTATGCTTGTTTATGTATATGCGTTCTGATAACAACCAAACCCCATGTGGTGTAATGGAAATGTGACACGTAAGTTTTATCCCGAGAATAACCAGAAAATTATTATTTTTTAAACTAGCTTTCAATCAATCAATTTTTTGACCTCAGGTCATTTTTAGATGAATGAACATACCAAGAACTTTGATAAACTAGTTGATCAGATTGCAGTGGAGTTTGCACCTACATACTTTCCCTTCTGTTTGGTTTGTTGGGGCTTTTTTCTTCTTTCTTGCAGGCAAGATGTGTAAGTTACTGCCTTTTCAGGTGTTCAAACAGTGAAGGTAACTTTTTTTCTGTGGAGTTTGTAAGATGCAGCAGAGCACAGGTATGTTTTTGCTGCACAGCCTTCACGGGAACATGCTGAAACTGCTGAATTCCATAGCCCAACTGTGCTCCTTGGGGTTTCTCTAACTTTTTGCTCCTCAGATTTGCTAGACAGAACAAGCACGGTAGAAAGCTTCATTGGGGTTGGTGTGAGACTGACTTTTTATGGAAAGCTGTTTAAATTCCTTTTGGCTGTGCCTGTTGTAGTAGCCACCAGGTGAACTTACTGTTCCCAGATGAGCTTGATTATCATCATGATGACTCCCTATTAGGAACTAGTAATGAATCAGTGTGTTTGTTATCTTTTATGTGTTTGTATAACAAATAGTTTTGTAGTTTGGAAGAATTTACATATTGGAACTTATGTCTGCCGGAAAAATGCGCACATGCTTTGTGTTAAGTTTCTTTACAGCCAGATAAGTGTTGAGCCACCCTTCTAGAGGCATTCTTCCATAAGAACAGCTGGTCAGGATCATACTGCTGTGAGAAAGGAGCAGATGATCTCCCACTGCTGAAAACCCAGGGGTGTACTCTCCTTCCAAATCTTCGTTCTTCTTGGGAACAAAGACAAGCACAGGGAGGATGGAAGTGAGGTGAGAGAAGCTAATCAGTGGCTGGGTCACGGTGCCTGAGGGCCAGGTTCACGTGCAGTGCTGGGTTTTAGGGAATCAGCTTGACCTACCGGTCTGACTGAATGTGTGGGGTGGGGTGGCATTAAGGCATGTTTGCTGTTCTCTTTCTCTGTTTCTGTCTCTAAATATAGTAACTAATTTTTAAAGTTTTACATTTTAGTAGAGTGAGGTCATGTTCCCATGAATATGTCTAATGTTCAGAATGATTTCTGGGATATTTGCAAACGACCTACTGTTCTCCTTCCCAGGGAGGGGGCCCCAAGAGCAGTAGGCATTTACGTGCAAGGTGCCACTAATGCCTGAGCAGGACCAGGACTCCTCATCACCCTTCACCTGTGTCTCAGAAGCTCCCATCCTGTCACCAGAAAGCCTGGGCATGGCAGCACAAGGCCTTGGTAAGGGGCCAATATTGCCCCAGCAGTACATCCACAGTTGCTGTGCTGGTGCCGCCAGGTAGAGACTGCAAAGCTTTGGGGTTTCTGTGTGTCAAAGACATGGGAACTCTCTACTTGAAATCTCAAGTTTCCCTCTCAAGCACACAGGAGTAAATCTGCCTTTTTTTTTTTTTCCTTTTTCTCCTTCCTTGTGAGGGTGGTGTTAGTTTGGGGGCAGGGTTATGGAAAACACCTCATCTGCTTCCCAAATAATATAGTGTCATGCAGAGAAGTGCAAGTTTTCAGTCTTTATCCGGGTGAATGATTATGATTGCCAAGTCAGCCTGTAGTGGAGTTTCTTGATTTATTTATTTTTACTTTTTTTCCATGCAGAGCTGAGCAGTTGTACATCTCTGCTAATACAAGGTTTTGGTGTGTAGAAAAGACATGAAAAGGAGACATTGAAGAAATGTTCCCCTATTTTGTCGATGGACTAGGGATCAGTTTTTACAGTTAACAACTAAAGATCAATCTGCAGACAATTTAGCATAACAAAATATCAGAAGTTAATGGGATTTGAATAAATTATTCTGAATTCTGGTAATTATAACAAGGTCTGTTTTACTTCAATATAAATAGAATCAGTTATTAATCAGTTAAAAGCTTAATTTTTCACATCAAACTTAGGATATAAGGCTTCTTTCAGAAACTTTTTACAGAGAAAATATGTCAGTGGCCCACAATAATGGGAAAATAACTTGTGATTAACTGTTTGCTAATTGAGTACTTCGAACTTTTTGCCAAATAAATTGTAGAACAAGGATTTCAAGCTTTTCCAGCACAGAGTGCTGCAGAACAAACCACAGGCTGGAAACCCTCATGCACCTTTGGCTAAGACAACAAGACTGGCGTGTGCAATGTACCTCAGATAGAAAATATCCAGAAGGTATTTTTGCAGTGTTCCTCTCTGTGAAAGCTGAACAAGGCTAACGGAGTGCTACAGTTTTACTCCGGAATAAATTACTGTTGTTTGCTATGCAAATCTTATGATTGTAATTAGGCTAGGATTTGGACTGCTGTGTACACTGATCTTTGTTCCCTCAGCGCATGGGAGCTAATTCTAATGCTGCAAAACAGCAGAGCAAATGCCAAGGTCTGCTCAGCCTCTGATCATTTCTCACAGGGTGCATTTGCTCCAAGTGGACAATTGAAAAGGAATGATTTACCTCTGCCTTCACAGGGGACATAATTGCACCGCAGGCATCTTGTGGGCCGCTGAAACGTTCAGGTACTGTAAAGTCTCGCTTGAAGGCAGGGGTTGGAGAAAACGCAGGGAGGAGGTCCTGATAGGCATCTAGTTTTTAGCAAACTGGTTTTAAAAAGTGACGTTCGGCTGCTGATTGGTTAAGGATCTGGTGGCATGTGTGAGCTATCACGACAGTGATTGCAGTTCCTAGTATGGCTATGTATAGCTCCCGTTATCTGTGCAGCAGGGCTCTGTGTAACCACAGCCCGTGGCTCCTTGCCCACACTAATGAGCTGTCCCCGAGGCCGGGCTTGTGCCTGGGGGGGTGGCACAGTGCTCCAACCGTGCTGCTGTTTTGGAAACCAGTTTGTTGACTGTGCTCAAGTCCAGCTTGCCCAAGCTGCCGTGCCAGCTTGGCTACCGTTGGCTGCGGGAGCTCGTCCCAGTGCAGCGTGGCTGTCCCCAGAGCTGTCTGGAGGACGAGGCAGGCTGGCAGCTGAGGCTGCCAGGCTGTATGGGCTGCAGCAAAGGAGAACTGTCACCTAGACCTGGACTGGGGCGAAGCACCAGCATGGTGAGGACAGTACAGGTGAGCCGCACTCACAGCCCATTCTCCTCCCTGGGAACACAGCTACCAGTGTCCAGTCAGCTCATGTGGTGGGAGTGCATCCTGCAGGCAGCGGGTCTCGATTTTATAATAACCCAAAGAGCAGGGGAAAGCCAGGGGTTGGCTGCTGCCAGCCATGGCTCCCAATATGTGAGAGAAAGGGGAGCAGAGGCATTCAGGTGCAGGGTACCAGCTGGGGGTGTTGGGGAGATGCACTCTTCTCTTAGCAGTGGCTGGCAAGGGTGAGCACCTCGTCCTCGTGGTTAAGGTGGTGGCTGCACATCCACAGCCTGGTCAGAGCCTGCACCTGCGCCAGGGCTGGGCTCTTCTGTACAACTGCCACCCCGCTGCTACAGGAAGGTCCAGCAAAATAAAAATCTTAACAGCTACAAGATCTATTAGCTTGTGCAGTTTTATCTCCAGATAGAGAAAAAGGCATTATTTGGAATTTTTTCAGAATCATTGTGAGGACAGAGGAAGAGTGAAGAAGTACCCTCTAGGGAACAATATAGCATTGTTTTTCTAAGGATATAGTGAATGACACAGTCTGGTTTTTAACAGCTTGTAACTCCTGTAAATTTTGTTTATTTCTTTTTGTTGCCTACTCATCTAAATCACAACAAAGCAGAGGAATGGTGGCAGTTTTACTTTTTCTTGCATGCTTGCACATGACCTCGAATCCATTAATTTTGTTTGTGTAAATACCATTTAAGGGAGCAAGGAAACTGAAAAAGTGTTGAGGTACTAATGTGCCTAGCAAAAAGCAGAAGAAATCTTCTTTGCAGAAAGTGATTTTTCTGACCAAGTATTTTTGATTTCTAGTGCTAATACGGCAAAGTGTGTGTTCTTTGCATAGCTGGATGCGCCCTATTTCAGAACAGGTTAGAGTGTGTTCTGAAGCTGTGGTTGAAAAAATATATTTTACTTAATTAGCCAAGTTAAAGAGGGGTATAAAATCTGTGTGAGCTTTATAAACTCTGTGCTGTGGCTCTGTGTACATTCCTTTGCTAATGGCATCTGTAATTTAGCATTGTAACACAGAGGATGACTTGGCCTGTAATTATCTCTGAAGAAGAATGTGAACTTGACAGTTTTGCACTCTTAGTTTTGGGGAGAGAAATTACAAAAATCTCAGTTTCCTTCAGTAGCCCCTAAAGTGCTCCAATTCTATTTGCAGTGCTCCAATCCTATTTTTTCTGGTACACCTGGCAATTTTTAGAATGCAATAAATTTTCATTCAGGGTACTAACATGTTGGTGTGGGGTCAGAAATACTGTATAGTAATATAATACCAGTATGCCTGTTATTAAATAACTTGAGTCATTCTAGTTATCTTCATGACCCATATAATGAAACATGGAAAACCTTAGAACAAACGTTGGACAGCTCTAGATGTTTCACAGAATTGCAGAATATTCTGAGTTGGAAGGGACCCACAAGTGTGATCAAGCCAAACTCTTCAGTGTACAGGGACTGAACTCACAACCTTGGTGTTGTTAGCACCATGCTCTAAACCAACTGAGCTAATCTCATATTTCAAGGTGTTGGGCAGCTATGCCAGGTCAGAATCCCAAGGCATGCTAGCAAGGTGCTTAATAGCGCTTCCAGCTCTGCAGGTAATTTTGTTCAGGGCTAGCTGATGTCTTTGTGCTGCTGCTGAGCTGTGCTGCCTAGGGTGTTGTCTGTGGGGCTGCTCCGCTTGGAGGCCCTTGTTCAACACCTGGTTGGATGCAAAGCAGTTCCTGATTTTAGAGGAAAGCCTCCCTACTACCCATGTGTGAATCATTTCAGACCTATGTCTTGGATCTAGAGGGCCAAGGAGGGTTAGCTAACGGAGCTCTACTGCAGAATTTGGAGGCTGATTCAAGGGATACCCTTTTCCCCCTGCTTTCCCTTTCCAGCCTTCCTGTGAGCTGCCCACCCTGGAGCCTTGGAGGTGGGCACTGCCCCGGGGCAGCTGGAAGGTTTGCTCAGGAGTTTGCTAGTGATGAATCACAGAGGTATGGCATGGATTGATAAGGTCGTGTACTTTGTGATTAGACACATCCTTCCTCTAACAGCGGTTCTTTGTCTCCATTTTGCTTTTGGTAATATGTTTCGGCTGTTTGCATACAATGACTCTCCAAGCAGGAGCTGTTTGACTTGAGACAAAGTCACTATTATTCCAAGCAAGTTCAGGAAGCCCTCATAATTTTGTTGCCCTCAGAAGGGTGAATTTATTTAAAAGCCAATTAAGTTAAATCATCAAAAGAAATATTTTTATTTTCTTGCAGCCTAGCTGTAAAGGACTTTTGGGTACATGAACAAGTGTATAACAAGAAAAATCTGCCTGGAAGCTATATTGTTGGATTTTTTGTACATTTTAAGTGATGGCTATAGAGGGGCATGCTCTTTATCTGTAGCACTAGCAAAAACTTCCATGGCCCACAAATTACTGAAAAATACTGACTACTGTGGGGCCTGCAACCTGACCAACATGCAAGTCTATCTCCTCAGCTGGAGTTGATGGAGAGCCCAAAGAACTCGGTAGGAATACTTCAGGCTTATCTGGCTAGATTTTGGACTGGACTCTCAAGGTGCATGATTTAGTCAAGTGCCTGCTTGTATTTACAAACAGAAACCTTTTAATGGTACCCTGAATATGACATTTATAGTGCTGTAGTGCTTTTTCAAAGACTATCTCTGATGTTTCCCCAGGCAATGTCTCCTGAGCCCTTTATGCCCCTTGGTTATGAGTCCCTGTCTGTTATGAAGCCTTACTTCTCTGTCTGCCCCAGTCTCTGCTACAGTGCTCCCTTGGACTCTCTTGGCTGTTCTGGCTCTCCTCCTCTGCTCTGTATTGTCACTTACTGAATAGACTTGCTTAGTGGAGTTTTCAGAAGGAAAACAAAACGAAGTAGTCATGGATGACCAATATCAGCTTTTCTTTTTAACTCGGTCGTAAAGCATTGTTGGCTCACTGGTTTGGTTTCTACTGTCTATAAAAAGGTTTTGTGCAAGAAGTCCCCTTTTTCCCATCGCCCTGTGTGACACCAGTGCTGAGATGACCTTCTGCTGGAAAGTCTCATTGCTCAGTTTTGTCACTGCTCTGTATGAGTTTCCCTGGCAACCAGTTTGAGCTGCACTGAACCAAAAATATCTCACTGTGCTGGGGGAAAGTCAGTTTGCAGACATATATTTCTCTTTAATGAGTTCTCTGGATGGTTTGTGTGTTCAGCCTGCAGATGTCATTATTGGGAACCAACAGCTGGGAGATGCTGTTTGCCCCTTTTCCTTACTTCCACAGGCAGAGTGGCCTATGAGGAGGCTGCCCCTGCATGATAGTCAACTGAGCTGTGGCTGTAGGACCCATCATACTCATTTCTCATGGTATCCTGAGAGTCTTGTGTTCTACTGAGAGTGGTCTGTGCAGCAGACACAAAGTCTTCATTGGATCTCTGCAAATTTCTGAATTTAATAATAACAGAATGGGTAAGGTTGGAAGGGACCAGCCTTACCTAGGCTATTGCTAACAGCTTTTTCCATATTTCTGTATAAATATGTGCATCTTACTTTATAGCTGGGCATGCAGTGAAGTCCAGTTTTGCTCCCATCCTGGTCTTTAAGGGCACAGTTTGTGACACCTCCAGATGAGCATATATGTAAATCTTTGGAGGTCAAGACCTACCATTTTACTCAGGAGAGAACGCACAAACTGGAGGTGTTATTTCAAGCCTTCCTCGTTTAGTTTTGACTTGCAGATAATCTTATCACTACCTAATGTAGAACACTGATGTGAAGAAAAGCATTGGTAACTCCAGATGTGTTCTCAAGATGACAAAATTAGAAAAGACTAAATTGGAAAGCAGGATTTCATTTTTAGTAACAGGTTCCCTTTTCTGGATTTGTAGGGTGTGAGGATTGCGGTAAAAGCCTTATAGGAGAATGCAAACTCCACGGACCACTCATCAGGGCTAAAGATAGGGTTATTCCCAGCCGAGCCCGTCTCACCCTGCCTCACTACCTCACTTTGCGAGTGTTGGAGCTGAGAGCTGGAAACCAGCAGAGTAAGTATTTTAGCTCTTTTTCCCACATTTGAGAAAGAGGAGGCAAAAACACTGGCCTGTTTTCATGAGTAACTCAAGGCATAATCGTGGGGCATTAGCATTATGAAGACTGTTTTCAGCTGAGCACAGCTAAAGCTCACAGTCAGCTACTGTTTTTTATGACTGATTTCTGGTAACGGATGCATAAACTGATGGCAGGACATTAGCCAGAGCTGGTGTGACATTTAGCTGTGAGCAACCAGTTAGATCTGTTCAGTCAATCCAAGTTTAATGAATGTTGAATTTGTATCTAATAATAACAGCCATGCACTACTACTTTTTTTTTCTCTTTTCCCCAAGCACGCAAAACAGGAAAGAGTATTCAATGAAAGGTCAGAAACAAAATGGTAAATGACATCCCTTATCCACCCCCTGCAAACTCAAGAGATCACAGTGGGGTAATTTACCTTTTTCAGCATTTTTAGTTTATATTATAGGAAGACTGTTGCTTCCTTCTAAAAGCAAAGCAATTTGAATGCCCAAACATGAACAAAGGAATGATGTTCTTTGTGTGCAAATTTTCCACAGCTACCTGTGTAAAATTAGTCCTGCCTAGACTCTTTTTCAGAAAGAGAATGACAAGATGCCTGCACTGTCACTCCATTGATCTGGCAGTGGAATAACTGGAATGATTAAGAAGGCTAATACTGTGTTTTTATAGATTCTCTCCACTCTTATTGGGAGAGATCAACCTCCTAAATTATGCCAAAAAGCAGGGGACTATGATAACATCAGTTTGTAGATTGAGGAGTATCAACATGTTTGTATTGCATACTCAGTTTAATATCCTGTCATAGATTTTTGGTAATTTATTATTTGATGTAGTTCCCATTAAAAAAATCAGTACCTATTTACATCCTTTTTAGTTTCTTCACCTTCGAATTATTTACTGAGTTTATTTGTCTAGAAAAAGAATCCATGTGTTCTGCACTATTTTGTTTATCTCCATTTTCACAACTGTAAGCATACAAGAAATAGTTCATGATGTCTGTACTAATATTAGACTGCTCTTTGTTTTGTTCACAGTCCTTGGTGTATTTGCAAAGAAAGTAATACAGAAGAGAACACAATTTGGCCCTTATGTTGGTCAACTGTCTACAAAACTGACCTGCTATGATGAGAGCAGGCTAGTCCTGCAGGTAAAAACCCACTTCTTTTCTATGAAGTGCATATGTGTTTTTAGCAGCTCATACTTATTTAAGTATTTTAATCAGTCAATTTGCCATCTCATTTAGTTCATTAATTGTACTTTTGATGTGTAAGTATGAGTGTAAATCACTCAAATTATTAGACAGTACAGCATAACCTGAAGTACCCAAATGTTCCTGTATACAGTGTTTTCTAGAAGTTTGCTTTCCTGCTTTCTAGTTTTACCATTTCTAGGGTGTGTTAGGCCTGTCAGTCTAATAGCTCTTGATAAGCTTTTCAGAAACCATAGCTACTGAAGTTTCTTCCCAGATAACACAAAAAGATTTGTGCTTTACACCATACCACTGAGAGGTTTGAGTTTGTCCCTGAGTTAGCGAGAGTGACAGAATTATGCACTAAGGCGCCAGCTTAGTAGGGAGAAACAGTGGAAGGATAGGGAAACACTTCTTAATTAATTTTAAATGTTATTGTTATTAATTAATAATAATTGTTAATTTATATGTAGACTTAGACACACAGTGCACTACCTCAGTTTATTTATTCAGATTGTTATTTAGGGCTGGTACGTTCTGTTGCTGCACACGCAGGTACTGACTGTTCCACCTGGACCATGGCACTATTATTTGTACTTTTTCCAGCAAAAATTGTGGCCTCTGAGGACTAGCCCAGCTTAGACAAATCTACGTGGACATCCTTTCCCACAGGAATTCCTTGGGAGTGAGAGTTGATTAGTTGACTAGGGCAATCCTCTGGGCCCTAGTCTTTGCATTTTGCTGTTAGGGTCATGGCTGAGCACAGCTCTGTGTCATATGAGAGTCTATGGTCAAGCCACAGCCTCTGTGAGGACTTCCCAACAGGTCATGGTTCTTCCAGAGTTTGCATTTCGTATAAAGTCCTCTCACCCCCAGATAGAGAGACACCAGCAGCAGCTGTCCTGTGACACACACTGTGTCTTCATTTGAGCTTTCTCCAGAAGCTTGGGACTGGAAAGCATCGTGTTGTGAGGAAATACTTCTGAGCTTTAGTTTGAGAGCTTCAAAATAATAATAGCTTCAGTAGTTGCTGTGAACTTGATTTGGACATGGAAATCATGGGAATTATCTGCCAGGAAAAATAACACTATCCATCTATGGGATTTTCATAGCATGTGGACGCCAGAAAAGCTTTATTCTTCTCTATAACTCAATATCTTCAGTCTTTTGATTAGACACTATTAAAAATGCAGAAAATGTGCTTCTCTAACAATGGATGGATGAGCTAAGCACCCAGTTCCTTCCTCTTCACCAAGCCATTGTAAA